CTGAGGACTTGTTTTCAAAGTGAGACGAGTTCTGACACTCTTCCTTCATGTGCACTCTTATCTGCTTCCCAACATTGAGGGGGCAGATTTCTTCTTACTTTTTAATAGAAATCTAGAAAGCAGCCAGCACCATGCCTAAAATAGAAGAGCTTTTAACAGATTTTTACAGATACCACATGTTCTTCTTTCGTGCAATGTGTGGTCTGGCATCTGGGAAGGGGACCCCCACCGTGGCTCCCAGACCAAGTGGGTCAATAAACATCTGCAAGATGAGTGACAGGTGTCAATCATCTGTGTCCTGTAACCGCAAAGTGCCTGCTCCAAGGACGTGTTGGAAAAGGCAAGTGGGGTCTGGGACCATCAAGCGCCAAGGACTCGAACTTCTAGAAGCTGCGAGGCAGTTCTCACCCGATGCCCCTGCTTCGGAGCCCTGGTTCAGTAAGCGCCGAAGGTGCCTCTTTTTCCGTGTAAAGGGCTACGTTTTTGACGTGAAGTGGGAGCCTGCTGCACCCTACACCTGGGCCCTGAGGACGCTGCGGGCGGCGGGGTTCCCACCTCGAGTTAGGGTGGAATGGGGACCGGCACATCGGAGAAGGGGTAATAAATAGAAGAGGCAAAAGTGCTTTGGAAAATTAAAACAAGACTTTTAACTTTGGGTAAGCTAGGAGAAGCGAGAGGGAGAAAGCAGGAAGGGAGGAAGGACTCTGCCAACCAGTGACCAGAGAGGGGAAAACAGGGAAAGGTGGGCAGGTAAAGGGCAGAGGACATCAGTGGCAGGAATGGCGGGGCCAGCCAGAAGGTTTAGCTCCTCACTACTGCCTGGGGGGACTCTGACATTTGGCGTTTGCTCTTTTTTTATTATTATTAAAGATGTATTTATTTATGCAGATGAGAGCTGGCGTACAGGCCAGATGTGTGGTGGGGGGGATGAGAGGATTCACCAGAGACAGAGTGGGGAACAGAACAGGTAGATGGACCGAAGTACACTGCTGAGGGGAACAGGTGAGTCAGGAGAGGTCTGCTGCGCCATGTGGGTGGCACCCTGGCTGGCCAGGAATCGAAATCGTGCAGCAGAGGCTGCGGATTGCTTCACAGGTTGCATCTTAATCCTTGTGCCACCAGGGAGGCCCCGGCATTTGCTCTTGACTGAGCTGCTGGTGGGATACGGAGCGTCTCATGCTGTCGTCGGCCATCTTGTCTCCGTGGCAGTGTTGCCCAGCCTGTGTCTACCTGAGCTGAGGTGGAGTGGAGGGAGTGATTATTTGACTTGACAGTTTGCAGACACCTGGGACTCTGCCTGCAGCCCATAGCCAGGCAGGCATCGCACCTGAGGCAGGGGGTTCGGACATTCTCAACACCTTGACTAGAAAAGGCGAGAACGGAGCTCACACTCCACAGGTGGGTCCTGACTAGCCTGGCCGGAGTCCTGGTGACGCTGTGCTGGCTGCTGTGGAGAACAGCATTTGGCTAAAAGTCAGGGGCTGTCGTGAGCTCAGGCCTCTTCTCAAGTCTCCTACGTTGTCCTCGTAGCTGGTCGCCTTTCTCACCTGGATGGAGGAGACAGAGGTGATCAGGTGGGGGTGTGCTCGTCTTAAGTCCACTCCGCTGACCTCCTGGAGCGCACACTCCCACCTTCTCGCCTGCCCTCCTCAGAGTGAGCCGTGTTCCTGCTCCCGCCGCCGAACCCTTACAACGACCTGGCTTCCTTCCTCCTCCTCCTGCTTTCCCCCCTCTAAGTCCAAGGGGCTTCTCCAACGTAACACATCCTGGGTTACCATCCACGCCGATCCATTTATGAGTCCTACACTCTTCCTCCAAAATAGGGGTTCACGAACTTCTGCTATAAAGAGCCAGAGAGTCGAGGGGCGTCTCGGGCCTGCGGTCTCTGTCACTGTTACCCGGCGAGGCCGCGGAGGCACAGAAGTGGCGAAGCCCGTGTGTGCACGAGCAGGCGAGGCCGCGCTCCGGGAGGACTCTCCGTGCAAACAGGCAGGGGCTGGTGTGGGTTCACCGGCTGTGTTTGGCTGACTCGGTCCAGGGAGAGCCGGTCCTTTTCTGTCCCCACCGTCACCCTGGGCCAGGCCACCGACTTCTCATCTGAGCCACTGCAGTGACCTTAGAATTCCCTGTTTCGTCTCTCATCCTCTTCAGTCACTCCCCTCCCCACCAGAGCAAGCGGAGTCTTCTAGAAGCTCATAAACCAAGTCTCGTGCTTAAAGCCCGCGGCGAGGACTCCCATGTCTTTGAGGCCTCGGCAAATTCCTATCAGAGACTCCCAGTCCCTGGGAGACCTGACCCCACCCCATCCGCTCTTCTCTCTCTGCTTCTCTGCCTCCCGGGGCTTCTTCCTGTTTCAGAAACAAGGCGTGCTCCTGCCTTCCTAAGGCCCCCTCCTACTTCTTTAGCCAGGTCTCCCCATGGTGGCCTCCTCTGGGGCCACCCCCATCTAAAGTAGGAAACACACTTGCCAAGAGCTCACTGCAGTCAGTCCCTGCTCTCACCTTGGAATATGAACGACCTTATTCAGTTTCCACCCAAAAAAACCCCTCTGAGCTGGATCCTGTTCTTATCTCCACTTTATTGAGGAAATTGGGGCTTAGGCACATTGTATAATTTGCCTCCGATGATTGAGGAAATAGTAGAGCTGAGGTACGAGCTGGGCTGCTGGCTCTGGGGCCCGTGGCCTTAACCATCTCTTTACTGTCCACGTAGCTTCATCATGGTGCCTGTCACTGTATTGGGGTTACAGGTGCAGTTCTTGGGGCATTTGCATGACGAGCGTCTGTCCTACCACAAGGAGCAGAGACCTGGTCTGCCTTTGCTCTCACTGAATGCTCAGCTTCTAGAACAGTGGCTGGTACACAGGAGATACTCATTATTTGCTGAATGCATGACTCTTGGTCCAGGGATAGCCTGTCCTTTTCTGTCCCCACTCACACCCTGGTCCAGGCCACCGACTTCTCATCTGAACCACTGCGGTGACCTTCAGCTTCCCCATTTCGGCTGTCATCCTCTTAAGTCACTGCCCACTCCACCAAATAATTGACCTTGGTGAAGAGTAATTTATTGGTCTGCCCCCAAATTGGTAAATATTCAAATTACACCCCACCATAGGATTCCTAAAAAAGAAAAAAAAAAGGATCAAATTCCTTTACTCTAATTTCAGAAATGTTGAATTAATTCATATTCTGAGCCCTCTCTGCTCCCACAAATGATGTGAATTCTTTGGATTTCCAGATGTTATGATGGAGTTAAAAAAGACTCCTGTCCATTTCAACCTTCTTATTCCCTTACCTGGCCGCTCCTGGGCCGTGTGAGAGTGTGGTCACATGTGGGTATGCTCCCGGACAGCGTGTGGGGTCAGCGTGAGTTCCAGGGGACCTGGTCAAGGCCGTCTGGCTGAGGGTCTCTCAGTGAAGTCAGAAATCTATTCGATATGCTGTTTTCTTATGGTGATGAATGCTTCCCCCTCCATACCTAGCTGAGTACCTGTCTTCCCAGCACCCCTAGCTGCTGTCTGAGAATAATGAGCTAGAATGAAACAGGTTTGACGGGATATTTTCCTCTTGGATGCAGCTTAGCTGGAACCACAGTGTGGGAGGAAGCAGCTTTCAAGTCTCTTGCCTTGGGGTGAGCCCTGGGCAGGATTGCACCCCCTCCTTGGGGTTCACAGAACCTAAAACTCTAAGTATCTGCTAACGACAACTTAGAACATTGAGAGTTCAAGGACACAGACCTGGGAAATCAGATCTCAGGAAACAGCAGGATTTGGGAGGAGGTGTGGTTAAGTGGGTGGATGCCCCCGGAGCCCAGCTTCTCCAGGGCTGTGAGCTTTGCTCCCTGGGGGGAGCTGAATCAAACGACTGGTATGAAGTGTTCAGAGCAGGCTTGGCCCAGGATGAGCTCTCCAAACATTGGCCAGTTTTCTTTTTTGATTTTAGCCGTCTTATTTATAGTAAGGTTCTGTTCTGAGCAGCTGGACATTTTTGTTATGTTTTGATTCCAAGTGAAAGGAAGATGAGAAGATGATAAAATGTTGCTTTCTTTGACCTGACTTTAAAACTCTCAATATGTTCTACAAACTTTCTGTTACCAGCAAGGGCTGGCGTGTCTTCGTGACTTTCTTGGAGTGTCCCTTGGGTCATCTGCTTTCTGACAATTTAGCCATTTGAAGTTGGTTACAACGTCCACAAGGCATTGGCCAGGACGGTTCAAAATCAACCTGTGGACAGGATGGGACACACCAGTGATTGTCTATTTTTAAGAACTTTTTTCTTTTGCTACCAGACAAATGATGCTAAGACCTCGATATCTAGAAAACATTTTGTGGGTGTTTTGTATGGCTTAGAGTTTTAAAAAAGTTGTCGTATACCAAAGCCTTTGAGGCCAGTGTTTTAAGGAAACTGGAGTGTGGATTATGTCACTTGGGACTGACTCTGTTCTATTTTCCTGAACACATGGGCTCCTTTCTAGAAGTTGACGGAACAGAGTGAGTTCACACTGCTGGCCTAAAGATTAAACTTCACCCTGAGGTTCTTTTCATCGAAAATGTGATTTCAGGGCCTCCCCGGTGGTGCAGTGGGTTGAGCGCCATGCTGTGAAGCTGTCCGCAGCCTCTGCAGTGCGGGTTCGATTCCCAGCCGGCCAGGGAGATACCCACATGGCGCGGCAGACCTCTCCTGTGTTGCCCGCTGCTCCCCTCAGCAGTGTCTTTGGTCCGTCTGCCTGTTCTGCCCCCCACTCTGTCTCTGGTGAATTCTCTCACCCCCCCAACCCTCCGCGCTTCTGGCCTGTACCCCAGTTCTTGTATAAATAAATACATCTTTTTTAAAAAAGTGATTTCATGGGTAGGTAACTTCTAGGACAGCTCACTTACCAAAAAAAAAAAAAAGTTGCTGAAAAGAAATCTTTGTTTCTTGCTTTCTAGTATGTGCGGCCAATATGACAGCCAAGATAGAGGTAGTTTCAGGGGACAGAGAAAGAGAAACCGTGACCAAGGTGGTTGTAGTTTATTTACAAGCAAAAGAAGCTTTAGGTATTTCATCTAAATACGAGGCCTGCGTGACCACTCAGAATGCCATAGGATAATGAAAATATCTAGCGGACGCGCACACTGATTCTTGCCATATTAAAACCATCACACACATCACATCATTCACACAGGCTTTATAGTCAGGGCTGCTAAAGGCCTTTTCAGATGTCCCAGGCGTCCAGGAAGTCTTCAAAGGCAGATGGGAAGGACACAAAAGCTCCCCTTTCATTATCTCTGCCACCTTTGGGGGGGTCCCCAGCAATGTCAGCAGCTCTGTTACGAAGAGACAAGGGGTGACCGGTGTGTGGGAGTGTGTCCATGAAGCGTTTCCAGTCTCCTTGGATATGACTGATGGACTCTTTGTAAAATCTGCTGTTGTTTATTGGTGAGCGGCAGCTGGGGAGGGACAGATGGATTAACTGAGTCAGGAGCCAGTATACTCTAGGCGTAACGCACAGCGAACTATCTTCAGAAGCATCCAGAAGCCAGTGTCGTCTGCTCTGCACCCTGACTTCCCACTGAGCTGGTCCCCAGGCGGCGGGCAGCATGGATGGTGACTTCCCCTGGGGAAAGGCTCTCGAGTCTTCTGGGTGCTGTCACTCTCGCTGACAACCAGGTCTGGTGAGCCTGGGGCTGCTGCGGGCCCTGGTAGGGCCCTCCGGGTGGAAACCGGCCACCAGCTGGTGGTTCTAGTCAGAACCTTTTCCTCCCATTCAGCTGTGTACGAAACCGCTTCTGTCTGAGGCCATGAAATGACCCAAAGGCGGGAGATCTCGCTGGAGAATGAGGGTACGGCCTGGCTCGGGGTCAGCACCCCGGGATGAAATGCCTTTGCTTCACAATCCATTCTCAGCCTCATTTTATGAAATCGAAGTGTCCCTTTGTTCTGTTTAAACGTGGCATTGTGGAATTCTCAAGAAATGGGACATTTTGTTTTTCAAAATTTAAATATAAATATGAGAGGGCTTGAGCAGTAGAGGGGTGAGTTAGAGGAAACCAACTTTAATGTATTAAATTTCAAGGATGTGTCTCTTCCTGCTCACGGGCCACCATGTCTTGCTCCATCAGGCCAGAGGGACCTCCCCCCTACCCCGCACTGGCACCCCCAGAGGTTAAACCCACCTCCGGAGATGGTGTTATGGATGAAGCACCTGCCCTGCCGTGCCTTGTCTGGGATGACTCCGCACTTGATTACATCAGGATGCACCTTAGCAGTGCTGGAGGCAGGAAGGAAGCCCTGGAAACCCCAAACCCTCTGACACCCACACTAGAACCGTGTTACTGAAGCCAGGCGGGTCTGGCATCTGCTCAGGGGGACGATGATGGTCCTTTGAAGGTCAAAGAGGGAAGGGTCACCTTTTTTGGCTGCAGAGAGCCCCCTGGCTCAGGCCACCCTGGTATGGCCAAGGTTGCAATTCCGCCACCTCCAGTCGGCAAGCCCTGGGAACTGGAGAAAGGGCAAGGTGGGTGTGAGAAGATGCAGGGGGAGGGAGGACACAGCTGGGGTCTGCACCCCCCCGGAACAAGCCCACGATGCATATACACGCTTGCCCACCTGGGAGTTTGGAAGGGGTATTCCGAGGCCATTTCAATCTGCATTTAAGTTGAGCCCAAAGGGAATCTTCATCCCACCCAGCGATGGCGCCAGAAGTGTCTGGACACAGGTTGGCAGCCCAGCTGGGCCTGAGCTAACTTTAATTAATCTTGAGGATGTACCAGCATATGAGACCTGTGCTCCCCACAGAAGCCCAGGCAGCGCGGCCCTCCCACCACATCCTGCAGGTACTTAAGAAGCACAGGCTGACCTGCTGTCGGTACCCCAAGTATCCCAAGTCTGTCCGTGACTGGAGGAGGTGGACAAGAGCAGGGCTGCTTTATGTTGAAGAGGTGCTTTTGTGGAGCTGTCCTCATGGAGAAAAAGAACCGCAATTCACATTTTTTTTTGATGACCAAGTAGCTTAGCCTCCCAAAAAGTGTTCAACCTCAGATTTGTATTAAGGAGCATGGGGCGGGGTTGGGGGAGAAACATCTATTAAAACTCTGTCTTTGATGAGAATCATTTGGAAAGTAGTTTCAGTGATTTTCTTTAAAGAAAATATATTGTGTCTCTTATGCAAAAATGTTGCTGTTTGTAGAATGCACTGGAAGGTGGTTGGCTGGAGGACAGGCTTGTGATAGGCCACTCACACCCTTTAGCAGACTCCACTTTTTTTTCTACTTGGGTGGCCTGTTATTGCAGGGGACACATGACCGGGTTAGGCCTGCAGGGTCTGTGATCTGGCACAGAATCCTCTGGGTGAAAAAATTAACTCATGCACATCTCTTTCCCCTATGTGGAAAAAAAAAATAGTATCCTAAAACTTCTAATAAGTTAGTCAAATCTGGTGTCTCCCTCTGTGGAAAAGCCTTGGAGAATCTTTGCATTGGAGGGTGTGTGTGTGTGTGTGTGTGTGTGTGTGTGTTTGCTCGTGTGTGCGCACACCAAAACCAAAGTGCAGTAAAGATACAAGTTGAGACCTTGAGAGCCTCAGAAGACTGTCTGTTTCTCCCTGAAAAGTGTGATGCTGGTTAAATATGAAGAAAATTATTAAGCTTGGTACTGTTCTACCACAACCACTTGAGTTTCTTGTTCAAAAAATAATACTCACGAGGAAAAATATCAGTTTGCCCAGTAATGACTATATTTCCTGGCTGGGGCGGGGGGTGGGGGTACCCAGGAATGGAGGCCCCAGCAGTCTGCCAGGAGGGAAGCCCTGCCAGTGGGTGCCAGGTGACCCTAGAGCTCACATAGATCTTCCTCTTTCGAGACTGTCAGTTTTTGCTCGGGGGCCCCTGTTCTGGCTTCTTGTCATTGGGAAAGACCTAGGTCAGCTGCATCTCCTCTGTGTCCGGGCCCAGCGCTCTCTGTTTGGATGGCCACAGTGCATCCCTCTTCCTCTCTCAGGATCTACAGCTCTAAAGCCGCCACCTCCAAGGAGGCGATCAGAGGCCCCTGTCACAGCATAGCAGGAATGGACCAGACAATCAAAGGGTCTTTAAAAAATACTCTTCTTCCAGGCTCTTCTAAAAGGGCAAGGCAGTTTTAGCTCTTGTCAACCGGTTCCCTGTTGGGACAGGAAATGGACGAGCCGCCTCCTCCAAGCAGAGAGGTCTTTCTTGTCTGGTCCACCCCTTCAATGATGCCGGGAAAGAAGAGGTGAAAACGAAGCTCTCCCTTCCCCAGACACCTCCCCATCCACCCACCGGAGCCATCAGCCCTCTCAGGCTTAAAATCTTTGTACAGTGGGAGGCTACCAGAGGCCAGAGTTCAAGCCAGTGTTCAGTCTGGGTCGGCCCAACTCAGAAGACCTAGATCTGGAGACTGAGGGGCCAGTCGATTCTGATGGACATTCAGCTGGTGCCCATCTTGTGACATCACGCTCACCTTTGCCCTCAGAATCAGCGATGCTTTCTCTTCCTCTCTGTTCATCTCTGTTAGTATCAGGCTCTGGCCTTGCGCGTGTTTCAGGCACTTCCAACCTGACACATCTAGGTCATCAGCCAGGGCCGGGTCCCTGCTGCGTTAAAGGCTGAGGTGGGGGGCCTCCCCTGGTGGTGCAGCGGTTGAGCGCTGGGCTGTGAAGCTGCCCGCAGCCTCTGCAGTGCCGGTTCGATCCCCGGCCACCAGCGAGGGTCCCACATGGTGCACAGACCTCTCCTGCTGCGCCCGCTGCTCCCCTCAGCAGTGTACTTAGTCAGTCTGCCTGTTCTGTTCCCCGCTCTGGCTCTGGTGAATCCTCTCACCCTCCCGTGCTTCTGACTGTACCCAGTGCTTGTATAAATAAATCAATAAATCTTTTAAAAAAAAGGCTGAGGTGTGCAGTCCTTGAACGTGGCAGTGGGGGTGGGGGTGGGAGGTATGAAAACTTGTCCTTGAGATGTTATTCTCAAGCCTTAATGGCTGCCCGCTCAAGAAACAGAGCTACACAAGCTTTTCAGCTGTCAGTAGAAAAGCGTCCCTGGAAGAAAATTAAGAGAGGCTCTGCCTACGGGGGACTCTGTCTGCCTGTGCTCCCGGGGAGTCACAGCCAGAAGCGGAACAGCCACCAAGGCGAAGGTTTGCCTGGATAGAACAAACACTCAAGGAAATTCAGTGTTTCTGAAAGCGGTAAAAATGTGGATGTGCCAAGTGACTGATGTAAGTCACTGCTGACGTAAGCCTGCTAGCAAAGGCGTTTCTGATGACACCCATACCAGAAAAACCCTGGCTGGACCTTCCCAATCGCGCGTGGACACTTTGATTTTTCTGCCCAAGTTCATTTCTGCCTCCCGTGAAAACTTTACAGTCTTGGCCAAACGGTCCACTGTGGGGCAGCTCAGGGGCAGCCGCCTGCTTCCCACCCCACCCTTGCACTGTCCTGCACGGCGGCTGCAGCTGGAAACCCCAGCCACTGTCGCTGCGTCCCATCAGGGAGAGGCGGTGACGTCTGTGTAAGTAAAGAGACTTCAGGTCACTGCCAGCTCTGAAGTTCCCACCCGCCAGCCTGCATTTTCTCCGCGGCATGCCACTGATGACAGATAAGTAAATCCAGGCAAACATAAGAAGAGGTGCAGTTATGAGATTCAGAGAAAGTTGTTACACAACTTCTCTTCTTCCCCTTCCTCTTCCATAAAAAACAAGCAGAGGAAGGAAACGCGTGTGCTTCCACCACCCAGTGTTCTCCCGTGTCTTCTTAGGCCGTCCCAAGCTATGGCATGAACCTCACCAAAGTCTCAACACCACCCCCACCGCCAACCAGCCGTCTGGGTTTCTGAAACAGCTCCCGGCAGCAGCGTTCAGCAGGGACCGCAGTCCTGTCCTATTATCTCTCGCCAAGTCCACTTCGGTGTAATCAGCTCTCCGCTGCCCAGCTCAGGGGAGGTCCGCGGTGGGTATCGGCTCTAACCGACCTCCTCTCCTGAGACCAGGGCTACACATTCCTTTTTATTCTCCCCCAGCCTCCAGCAGATTTATCTTCATAACTCAATGCTGAGTTGAGACGAAGATTAAATTTTGGAATGAAAATTGTGTTAACAGGGAAATCAAAATGCTTCTTCGCTCTTCTGGATGAAAGGAGACAGCCAGGGAGCGAATCATCCTTGAAGGAGGTGTTTCAGGAAGCGGAGAAAACCTCTCACACCTGGAAGCTGATGTATGCGCGGGGAGAGTCGCAGCATCACCCGCAGAGACCCCGTCTTGCAGCCTTAGACTCCACGTCATCCTGCCGTGAAACATATACCTGGGTGTGCGTGTCCCCCCGAGACTTTGGGGAGCTGCTTCGGCCCTCCCCACTTTGGAGGACTTTTCTCAGATCCCACAAGTGCCATAGAATTCATCTCTCTGTCTTGAAATTATTTCTAGAAATTCTAGAGCCCTTGGAATCACTTCCCTAAGTAAAAAAAAAAAAAAAATCAGCACTTTTTCAAAGACCCAAGAGCATCTCATTTTATAATAATGGTAAAGTTGGGTTTAAAGCATTTCCTTCCAAATCTTGGCTTGTTTCTATGGAGGAGGGGGTGAGGGTAGAGCAGGAACAGGGAGAAGGGGTGTCATTACCCCCCAGCATTGCACCTCTGGGTCCTGAGCTGAACTTGGAAGTGACCTTTCCTTTAAAAACGCTGTGGGATTTTACTGCCTGCATTTTTGTGTAACAACTTTCTCTATAGTCTCATCTTTTAATTGTGCCTCTTTTTATTTTTGCGTGGATTTTTCTGTCATAAATCTTGTGGAACACATTTTCCCAAGCTGCAGTAAGTACTTTTGGGAACACTGTGGCATGAATTAAATGGGCAGCTAGAATAACAGCAGCACTTTAGCAGGGTAGCTGCCGGATGTCAAACCCCTCGTCTCGGGAGCAGGAAGAGAGGAAAGCTCGGCTCTAATAAGGCAGGATCTGTGCAGGAGGCACTAAGAGTGAGGCTTTCACATCAAACCCGGGGACGATGGCATCTTACAAACATCTATGTGTAAATTTCTCCCGACCCTGGAAATCATGATCCCGGAGATGGGGATTTGTTATTTTTTATCGCCGTACATGACCCCATCTACAATTTCAGGGGCAGGAAAATGCCACTGAATGTGTGGTGTCCTGTCTGTGACAGTGCTGAGGGAACAGCTCAGAGCCTTGGCTTTTGAGGTGAGACGCTTAACGTGTGTGCAGTGGGCGAGGAAGGTGGCACGGGCACCCCTGCAAGGGACGGGCCCCCTCTGATGCACCCAAAACCCTCCATGCTTCATCTGTGGCTGGTGCGTGGGCGATGCCAAGGAAGCGTCCTCAGAGCTCAGGACACATGGAGACTTACTCGGTGCCAGCCTAGCAGCTGCACCTCAGAAACCCCTTTGAGCAGTTGTTGAATCCCATTTCCATTTTCTTTCCTTAGAAAACCATGTCTGGCATTTAAAAAACCCACACAATTTCATGGTTTTTCCATACAGGTGTAATTTTGCTTCATTCTGACCCATTTATTTTCACGGCAGGTAGAATAAAATGGTTTTCCCCACAAGAATTAGAGCCCACTTCTTGCCTTCCATTTGCCTTTCATTTCTACCCTCCCATCCCCTGCGGCTCCCTAGAAAAAGTGAGAAGGAAAAAAATGCAGTCTTAGAACAAAGCAGGTGTTTTCTTACTAAATACAAAGATTGATGACCACAGCCACATACGTCCTTTCGGGTAAATGAGTAATTGATTATATCTGAGAAGAGGAAACGCGTGACTTTATGCCCCGAGCCTTCAAATCTCTTCTGCTTCTCCCTTCTTACTGGGTCCTAACTTACCTGAAAGTGCTGAAGCAGATACCCCAGGGACAGAGGGTGACTTTGTAAAGGCTGGAAGTGTCTACCATGTAAGGAGCCCTCTATAAGGAAAAGAATACAAAAACATCTTATCTGTACAATTTTTGACAAAAGCATACAGCCACGTGGACATACTGACCCCTCGAGAGAGACCCCCGAAGCTTTAGCTGTTTTGGCTTTGCGGTGAGTCGTTTCCGTGGTTGCCACGCTGACCAGGCGTCCGCTTAGGCTGCACACACTTGGATTTCCTCCTGGAGCACGTGGACACAGGACACAGGTAGCGACCGCACAGGGTCTAGATAGGAATACACAACAGCAGCGCACGAACACAGGATCACTCACTGGGCTTTAAACAAACACACAGGTGGAGTTCTCGGTTTTTGTGGCATTGCAGTATTTCTACGGGATCATCCCGAGGCTGAGATCCTCTTCTCTAGACTCGGGTCTGTCTGCCTGCATTGAATATTCGCTTCGAGGAGGGGGAGGTGATCCATCTAATATAGTATGGTTCACTCAGGCAGACTCAGACACTGTTGGACTCATGCTGAGCGAGTCCCTAGTCTAGAAGCCAGGTGTGATGGGGAGGGGCGGGGATAGGCGTGGGGGAAGGGAGCACATCCCCGGTTGGCAGAGGCTGGCGTTTTATTGATTTATTTTTTCAGGCAGCTCAGATGCTGGTCTGGAGGTCTCCATTGAGGAGGGTCCTCTGGGTCTCCGTGGTCTCGTTCAGCCGGGATTTGTCCTGCTTACTGTCACTCCGCTCCCCGTCATCTGTGCCGCTCACCTTGACCAAACACAGGACGTTCTGGAAGCTCTTCTTGAAGTTGTCGGACAAGAAGGCATACAGGATAGGGTTGGCACAGCTATTGGCGTAGCTGAGGACCACCACAAAGTCGAAAATGCCTTTCAGGGCTGGAGTGGGGCTGATGGCCACCGACACCGATGACACATTGAATATGTAGAAGGGGAGCCAGCAGAAGATGAAGACAGCCACCACGATGGACACCATCCGGGTGACCTTCTTCTCTGACTTTTTCCTCTTGGAGGAACCCACTCGGATTCCGGAGGACTTCACCTTGATGATGATGAACAGGTAACAGAGACAAATGATGGTGAGGGGTACCAGGAACCCCAAGATGAAGGTGTAGATAATGAAGCCTGTGTACCATGCCCCAGATTCACCCGGCCAGTTGATGGTGCAGCTGCTTCTCCCCCACTGGTTGCTCCGAAGCCCAGCGTAGATCATGATGGGCAAGATGACCAGCAGGGAGACCCCCCACACAGCCATGTTGACCATCTTGGCTGTCCGGGGCCGCCTCCACTTGGCTGACTTGATGGGGTGCACGACAGCCAGGTAGCGGTCAATGCTCATGACCGTCAAGCAGAAGATACTGGTGAACTGATTGATGCCATCCACGGTCATGACCACGCGGCAGATGGCCTTGCCAAAGGGCCAGTGGACCAGAGCCACCTGCATGGCCAGGAAGGGCAGACCCAGCATGAACAGCTCGTCGGCGATGGCCAGGTTGAGGATGTAAATGTTGGTCATGGTCTTCATCTTGGCGTAGCGGAGGATGACATAAATGACAAGCGTGTTGCCACACAAGCCAATGATGCACACCACAAAATATATGAAGGTGAGGACCGCGTTGCTGGTCATGTCATAGTACGGCTCTGTCTGGTTTGAGCCATTGGCTGCGGCCACAGAACCATTGAAGTCGAATGGACAGGAGAGCCACCCTTGGCTGCCATTGAGTGGCTCACACGCCATATCCATGGTTGTCTTACAGTCCGAGGCTAGTTCCGAGCAGCCCAGAGAGTTTGGTCTCACCTTAATGGGTCCCGGAAGCAAAGGATCCCCTGCAGCATCTACAAGGAAGAAGGGAAGATTGGCCATCAGCAGAAGCCGCTTAAGTGCAACTTTCCACCTCCGGGAGCCTCTCGGACATACATAGCAATGAAAGTGTGACATCTTCCCATGACAATGTCACAGTTACCAGCACATTCTCACCACTGTGCAGACTTTGGGAGCTGGTTTTTTTCCAATAGTGGGGATGGGGGAGGTTGGGCTGAGCTGTCATAGTTTATCTTGCCATCTTTGGTGACACCCAGGTGGGAGATGGCTGTGGTTGCAACTGCAACTGTGTGTCAACTGCTTTGAACTGTAATAAGGCAGAGTTTGGAGAAGGCCAGCCCCTGGCCTCCTAGGGACCCGGTACTGGCATTTTTAGCCATCCCTGCAAGGAAATCTACTTGTGACTTCTTTGGAGTCTTTCTGTTTTGAAAACCTCATTGTGGAGAAATCCCAGACTTTAGAGGTAAAACAAACCAGGGTTCCATTTCTAGGTCCATGTGGCCTTGTGTCTGGCACTTAACCACTCTGACCCTCATTTGTTAAAAAATGGGGGTGTCATGAGGGAGGTTTAATGATGAAATGATGAAATGAGCTCAGTACTGGGCTGAGCTCACAACTGGAACTTGATCAGTGTTGCCCCACCCCTCAGGCACCTTTTTGCCTCTACCATCTCATTGTTGACGCCTACCTAACTATCCTACAAGGAGGAATTATCCCCATGTTACAGATGAGAAAACTGAGGCTAACACAGTAACTTGCTCCCATTCCCTGTGCATAATTGGTGGAGCTGTGCTTTGAATGCAGGACCCCCCGATCTGCACTTTTCTTTTTTTTTTTTTTTAAAGAATGACTTTTTTAAAAGATTTATTTATTTATGCACACAAGAACTGGGGTACAGGCCAAAAGCGTGAGGATTCACAGAGTGGGGAACAGAACAGGCAGACTGACTGAAATATACTGCTGAGAGGAGCAGCAGGAGAGGTCTGCTGCGCCATGTGGGTAGCTCCCTGGCCCACTGGGGCCGGGGATCCAACTTGTGCTGCAGTGGCTGCAGAGAGCTTCACAGTGCTGTGCTTAACCTCTTGCGCCATCAGGGAGGCCCCCAGTCTGCACTTTTCAACTATTCACATGTTGCCCTGTGGACTGGAAAGTCAGTATCTGTGGCTGGGCTTTGCTTTGAAGCAGAGGACTCCTGTTTTATGTTCCCAGCATGGGAACTGTAACACTGTTGACTTGGCCTAGACTATCACACAGTAGCTCATTGCATAATTGAATGATGTATCTGCAGTCAAGCAAGACTGGGAGACCTTCTTTATTCTGAACCCAGGGGTGCAGGAATGAATAAGGTATTGCTGGTGGAGCCCTTTAGGAGGTGACGACTTAGTAGGCGAGACAAGCAGGCCGTCCATAGCGTGTGGATGGCACGCAGATAGGAACAAAGGACCGAAGCTTTCCTCCTCTGCAGGGACTCCGATGAGGCTCTCGGAGCAATGTTTGAACTGCGTCTTGAGTATGTGGAAAGTGAAGCTAGGAGGGCAGGGAAGGTCCTTCCAGGGAATGGAAAGACAGTAAAGGGTGGTATGTTCAGCTCAGAGTGAGACTAATTTACCTTGTGCACATATTTCTTCTGAGCAGGGTACTTGCCTTGGCACCTGAGTGAGAATTACAGATGCGTCCTTGATGCTTGGAGATGCTGCTGTGAGTTATAGAGGACTTGGCAGACACAAGCCCTCGCGGAGCCTCGCCCGAGTTGCGTCTAATGAATCTTGCATACGCGATACGCCTTGCTTATCCTTTCTGTGCTCATTTCCCCTCCACACAACTCTGTAAAGTGAAGTCCAGCTAACATTTCTGCAGTGCACTTTGGGGAGCTGAGTTTTAATAGCTGCATTGGGTAGAAGGCACACGTTGGAAACTATGAAAAGCAGAAGCTGTAAAGAAATGCTTTCGGGTAGCCCTCGAGTCACATCTTCCCACTAGCATTTCTCATCCTCTTGTCAGTGACTGTAATTCTGCAGACCCAGAATCCTCTGAAGCCACCTGCCCTGGAGTGAACGTTCATCACTAGCACCGTCGGGCCCCACTTTTGTAGCAGGCAGGGTCACACGCCAGTATCGGGGAGAGACTGAAGCCCTGGGAGTGCGGAAGCCCTGCCCAGCACTTTGGAGAGAGGAGTGACGATGGTGCAGGCGTGTGGAAGAGGGTTCCCTCAGCCCCAACTCTGCCCTTTTGTCTAGTCTCTTACTTCGCAGGACAAAACTGCACGGGGTCCATTTTTTCTGAAATGTGCCGAGAAGCAACCTATCTCCACCTCTGAGCGAGGCAGCAGCACAGCTCAGAGCCACTTGGTGAAGGTGGCAGAGGGGGTGGTAGTGGGGGTGTCTGTCTGGAGGGGGAAGCTTCCTCCAAGGAGAAATGAATGGGTTTAACTCAGTGAACCTTAGTTTATCAACAATGAAAGCAGCTGCCTCAGCCTGCTGCGTGCTTTCTGCTTCATTTGAATCCCACAGAAAGTGATGCCCAGCGCCAGCCGGTCACTACTTGTTGCCCAGCGCCAGCCGGTCACTACTTGTGCAAGTGCGGTATGGAAATGCACGGGGAAGTTTGGGTTTTTGTTTTCTTTGTTTTTCAGCCTAAGAATGGTTAGATGCTGGAAATGGCTGGTTGTTGCTTTCTTCCGAGACAGAGTCCAGATTCTGTTGGAGAAGAGGGTGAGCTTGGCCTCAGCCTCCCTTCCCCTTCCCAGAGGGGGTGTGCACCCCCCACCCCAGAAATGAGTGTTGGGATGGCGCGCTGGCTGCAGCAATGGCCCTAAATCCTGCTCCGCTTCAGGCAACCCCTTCTCCCCAGCATCTTTCCCTCCCGCAGGCCCCACCCCCACGGCCCTCCAGCTTGCTGCACAGAGTGGGTTTCAGGGTGCTTGGCGCATGAGCCCCACTGGCTGAGAGAGACAAAAACCAGGAGGGGAGCCATAGAACTCCCCGGAAAAACCGGAGGGGCCCTGGCTGAAGGGTTAGGGGGTTCAAAGGGAGGTGAGGTTGCCCCTGCCTGGTGGCTCCCTGGTACGGTACAGAAAATTCTCCGACTCCCTATGTGACTCTCTGACGCTCAGACCCAAGGCTTTCCTTAAGGATTCCCGGTGGTTTTCTGGAGCACTAGGGGGAGGCTGAGGATTGTCTGCCAGCACCTCCAGCCTGTGAACATAGAGGCGGCTGAGGTTGCAGCCGGAGCCTGGCGCCTGGGGACTTGGCTGGAGGTGCCCGGCGCTGGCGCAGACCCCTCAGCATTTGGGTCTCTCCAAACCTAGACAAACTGTCTTTACCTCCGGGCACCTGGGAACAGATCCTAGACCCTTCGGGATGCTTCTCCCAGGCCTGGCAAAGAACAAGGGAGCAGCCCCTGTTGGCTCAGCCGCCTGCCCATCGGGGCTCAGCTCTCCAGGGTGTGCCCGCGGGAGCCGGGGCGAGGGGGTGCCCTAACACCCGCTGCCTCCTTCTCTTCTCGCCCCGATGTCTTCTGCAGGCGGCCGGGAGGGAAGTTGTCCCAGGCGCGGCTACTACTGGAGGAGGGCGCACGCCCTGGCCACCGGCACGCACCCTGCAGCCTCGGCACACACTCCCCGCGGCTCTCCACTCACGCCGGGGCACACGCTGTCCCTCATTCCCACGTCAATCACCCCCAAAAGGCAGAGGGGCGGAGAACAACGCCATGGGGACCGACACTCCGAAACACCGAGGAGCGCACCACCGCGCCGCGGAGACACCCAGGTGCCCAAGTGCGCCTCCGGCGCTCCGCTTCACTGTTTTTCTGTCTCGCGCGCGCACACACACCCGCGCACACACTTCTCACCTTTGCTTCTCCGCTGCGACCCTCCAGCTCAGCTCGCCCGCAGCCAGCGGCCGCGCGTCTGGTGGGCAGCCCAGCCCTGCGCCCGTGCGCGCTGCAGCCCGCCCGGCGCCCGGTGTCCGGAGCTGCCGGCTGCGGTGCACCCCGCGCTCATACGGGGGCTCGCGGAGCCCGCAGCGCCCCGGCGCCAGCCGCGGAGCGGGGCTCGGGACCCGGCGGCCGCGGCAGCGCGCGAGCGCGGGTGTCTGCGCCGCCAGGACTGGCCCGGCGGAGCCCCGGCCGCCGCGCATTTCCCCGCGCCCCCCTCCCGCCCGGTTGCGTCACGCGGGCTTTGCTCCGCCCGCCGGGTCTTGCGGGAGGATAGGGGTGAGCTGGGGGGGAGAACCCCGCGGGTGGCTGCGGGGTTTCTGGCCCACAAGGCAATCGGGGGACCCGCGCGCGTGGGGGCGGAAAGGGTCAAGCAGTTTCCGCCTCCCCAAGACCCAGGCCAGGGACGCCCGCGGTCCCCTGGGCGTCCACAGGCTCGGCTCGGTTCCCCAGCACGTCCCCGGCAGCTGGAGAGGCTTTGGGGGGGACTGGTCTGGCCCGGGCCCTCCGCTGTCAGACAAGTTTGCCAGCTGCGCCTTGCGTGGTCACCCCCGTGCCCAGGGCGCAGGGTTAGGGCAGGGAGAAGGGGGTGCAGGGGGGGGGGGAATAAAAAGCACTCCTCAGTGGGGGGGTTGTGAGCCTGCGCTTGAATTCCAGATTCAGCTGGAGGAGCAGCCGAGGCGCAGTCGGGTCTCAGCGTGGGGAATGGCCAGCCCTTTTTTCAGCCAGTCCCTTAGCTGCATCTCTGGGGGCGCTGGGGGCGATGCAGAGGGGTCTCTCTCCTGCAGGCGGATTGGGCCACAGGGAAACTTATAAGGAGGGGGAGCTGTGCTGCATCAAGTTGCAGTATGTATTTTTTGAGGGTGATGACTCAGCCTCTGCTCCAATAGTTTAATAAGTCATAATCAATCCCGAAGCTGCTCCTTTCTCACCCTCCTTCAAACACGCGCGCTCGTCATCCCGAGTGCAGTTAGGAGGCTGGGGAAACAGAAAGCAAACGCCAACGGCAGCTTCTCCCGGGGCCTGAGCCGCCTCCGAAGGTTCATCCTCTTACCTGATTGCAATTCACCAGTGAAACGTCCCAGTCCAGAGGCTGTGGAGCAGGTAGGGTGACCCCGGAAAGGCCCTGCCTCTAAGGTAGCAGCCAACGGCTAGTTCCTTTCTGGATCAAACTACAGCTTAGGGTACCTGCTGTAAGGGGGGGCCATGAGGGGTTTCGGTGGGCCACGATGGGGCTTGGATCCATCATCCTGTTGCTCAGGATGACACGGCAGGTAGCTGCTGGTGGCTTCATGCCCCCGCTGGCTCTTTTAGAGACATGCCTGCAGGATGGGGGGCTGGGGCTGGAGGCTCACTGGCAGAGGGGTGTGCCCTGCTAACCACTGGCTGGCGGGGAGAGGGGTGGGTGTAGTGCCAGGAGGGCAGACTAGGGTCTCGCCCAGGAGGAATCTGCATGCCCCAGCGACACGGCTGATGAAGCAGCACCTGTTGCCACCTCTAGTTTCAAAACCAACGACAGGTGACAGGTTTCCAGGGAAAGAGAAGGAAAAGGAAGAGGCCGGGAGAGCTCACTCCGCCCCCAATTCCTGGGGACCACCTTATCTTTTCAAAGGTCTTAAACCGCTGATGCTCAAGTCACATGCATCATCTGACAAGAGTAACCGCAGTTTTCGAACCTATCAGAGAAACGAAGCGCCCGCTGCCACTGTGTGCTTCTGCCCGCAGGTGACCCTTGGGGGACCTCTGTGCTCCTTTGGTTTCATTGGAGAATTAATGCAAATAGCACAAGCAGACCCACCCCACCACCCCTTTGGGCGTTAAGCTGGGACCTCTCTGTGCTTGGGGGTTGAAAACCTCAGGAGTTACCTGGATGAAATTTAAAAACGTTCTCCCCCCGCCGTCCCCAGCCCCACCCCCTGTGCGTGAGGGCTTGGAGCCAGGGAAGAAGGAGGCAGGCCCTCCAGATGGGCTCGTGGGTGGCTCTTTTAACAAGCAAGGGAACGTAGGACCCACAGGCGCCAGGCGTCTGCGCTGCCCACCAGGATCTTCAGATTTTGTATGGGGACCTTAGTGGGGTTCGGGCATGGCTTAGTCCAGAGTGTCTCAACAACATTTACCCTCTCAAGTGGCTCACTGCTGTCCGTGAGGGGAGAGTGAGGGAATGAATGCACATTCCAGGAACAGGGGAGAGGGGACGAGGCGCGGACAGCCTGGGTCCAGCGCGCGGGGCTCATGTCCCTCCATGGCCTCCGTCACAGTGTCCTTGACCTTCGAGACCCTAACGCCATGACACCCCCTGTGCTGTCCTTTTCCTTGTGAAGTCTCTCTGTCCGCAGAAGCTAACTGGCATGAGCCGGTCTGGGAAAAGTACCTGCCGCCACCTCAGGCACACCTGTCTCTCCTGCGGGCTGGGTGGGCGGGGTCTGAGCACCCTTGACCTGGGCAGCAGAAAACGTGTAATCTAGAGCAACTGTTGATTTTGTCCAGATGACATAGGCCTCTCCCAGCCCCCAAAGGCTTGAAAGGACTGTTTGCTGAGAATCGGCTGCCACCTGCACCCGGCAGCCGCCCACAGGCGGGTTCCCGCTTCTATCACCTATTCTGGTGACTTTGCCCTCCGTGGTGAATGCCCCCGGCCTGTTACCTTCTCTCCTTCCTCTGCAGCCTGGTCAGTAACTAAGTAACAAAACCTTGAGCCCGAAAAATAGAAGGGTTGGGGAGGAAATAACCTCCACCGTGACTTATTGATATTTTTAAAGCAGTTAAATAATTCCTTTCCTTTTTTAGCACTTATCAGGGAGACAATAGACAGCAGGAAATTAAGAATAGGAGCAGGACAAAGGGCCAGGTCAGGGCTCAGCCTGGGACATGGGAGATTCTCCTGGCTCACTCTTTCAGGGAGAAGCTCACAGCCGACCTGAGCCCGAGGAAGGCCTTTGCATCCCTTGGCGGAGTAATAAATTAAAGGGGGGTGGGCGGAATCGCTACTATGCAGTCGGTTTAGTGGAATTAAGTATCACAATTAAGCCTAGAGGAAAGCAAGTGATTCCTGGAAGGGGGTTGGAGCTGGACGGAAATGTGGATGCCGATGCGGTCATACCGTGTGGCTTTTACGGTCCCAACGGGCATGCCAGGGTGAGGTCTGCCATTTCTGTCCCTGCCGCGAGAGCAATGCTTAGCAAACACACAGGTGTACGGAGAAGTGTCGGTGCCTGGTGCGATGATGACATTACCTGGGCTTCCCGGAACACACTTGTCCTCGGTTGTTCTGTCCCTTGTCACCCACATACCACCTGCATTTTGCCAAAGTTGAGGAGCTGCCTTCCACAGTCTGCCTTTGAGACGTATCTTGTCACTTGTGGCGTGGAAACTTCCTTCTGAACCACGAAGTCTAGATGTCTAGTTTGGGAAACAAAATACGGTCCCCAGAACTGTTTTTAAAAATGTGCCCATTTGGCTTAGTATGGTTGATAGTTTCTTCTGATAAGGGAGGGGGGCCTGTCTGCTGCTCTGCCCTGCCCTTGACAGGTGTGAGTATGACTTGACCCGTCACCATTTTTTCTCTGCTTGCATCCTGCATCCACAGGATGGCTAAGAGGGTGAGCAGGACTTTGGGGCTCTCTGGAAACCAAAAATCTAGACTCAGAGACCATGGTTAGAAGAGTCTATGATCCAAGTATCATTCCCTTTTCTCGTCTACCCTACTGCAGCAGAGAGGTACATAAATGTAGAATCGTGGAGCCAGAGGCACCTTATAAATCCTCGGGTTTATAGCCCACGTCTCATCATTATACAGGAGAAGAGAAGACACCAGGCGCAGGGAGGTTGGGTGACCTGCCCAGCTGGGCAGGGGCAAAGTCAAGTGGCCATCAGCAGCTGCAGTGTAGCCACCAGACCTATGGAGGGGCCCCACCTATGCCGTGGAGCCCAAAACTGGGGGAGAGGCTCTGCCCCCTCCTCCCACCCCCTGGCTGTGCTCCTCACCAGCGTTTCTCCCCACGACCAAATTCCCTGCTGCTCTCACCCTGGCCTAGGTCCCGTTCTTCACCCCCTGGTGACCAGCCCCCTCTGACTTCCCAGAGTGTGTCTCCAGCCCAGCGCTGCAGAGAAAGGCCAGGTCTGGGGAGTCCTGCACATCTGCTCCTCCTCTGGCAGACCCACCTGGCACATGAATGAGACTCCTCAGGAAAGTCTGGGTGACCCCACAGGCAGCCCCATCACTTTGATCCAGGGCTGTGGACCAACGGCGCCATGAACCTAAGGGCCCTGTTATTTAGGTGCAGGGGGCGCTGGGCAGGGTGTGTGGGGCCCCGAGGCTTCTGTGTCTGAACAGCACATCCAGGAGAGGGGTGCAGCCCCTCCGTGCCCCTTGGCAGTGCCCTCTGCAGATGTGCTGGTCCTTGTGGAAACGGGGCTTTTATGGCAGTGAGGCTGGGTGGCAGTTTCACCAGTGGGCCAGGACCTGCCGACGTGCTCTGCAGTTTTGCTTGTGCTTAGAGAGGGGTGAGCAGGCCAGGTTGTAACTGGCCGAAGCTGGGGGACCAGCCCTGGACGTCCCTTCTTTACCGCGGCAGCCACCTTGGCGTGAGGATCCCATGTGCTCTCTCTCCACAGAGCTCCTGCCGGCTCTGGGCAGCCTCCTTGTCCTTTCCTTCCTGCTCTAAAGGCCAAGATGATAGTTCCTCTTTCACGGGACATGAAATATTTCTATTTTAAAAAGATTATGAGAGGTGCAAGCTGCTGGCAGAGGCTCTCTGAGAGGAGGTGCTGGCCTCATGTTGTGAAGGGTCTTCGCTCGGGAGGCATCTGTCTCTGATACCAGAGCGTCCAGCTCTCTCTTCTAGGGTCAGGAATTTTTGCGGGCCCAACCCCCAGGATGCAAAACCCAGAGTTAACCCGGTAACTCTGGCTGGTAGAAGAAAATCCCATTTCCAAAGAGGCTGCAGTTCCCCCGATGGCCTCTGGGTGGGGCTAGCGCAC